ATAACATATATTTTGATTTGTTTAACACTTTTTTGGTTACTACATGATTCCATATGTGTTATTTCATAGTTTTGATGTCTTCACTATTATTCTACAATGTAGAAAATAGTAAAAATAAAGTAAAACCCTTGAATGAGTAGGTGTGTCCAAACTTTTGTCTGGTACTGTACAGCCTTATTCTAAAATTGATTAAATCGTTTTCCCCCCTCATCAATCTACACACAATACCCCATAATGACAAAGCAAAAACAGGTTTTTAGAAAATTTTGCAAATGTATTAAAAATAAAAAACGCATTTATATAAGTATTCAGACCCTTTACTCAGTACTTTGTTGAAGCACCTTTGGCACCGATTACAGCCTTGAGTCTTCTTGGGTATGACACTACAAGCTTGGCACACCTGTATTTGGGTAGTTTCTCCCATTCTTCTCTGCAGATCCTCTCAAGCTCTGTCAGGTTGGATGGGGAGCGTCACTGCTCAGCTATTTTTAGGTCTCTCCAGAGATGTTAGATCGGGTTCAAGTCTGGGCTCTGGCTGGGCCACATTCAGAGACTTGTCCCAAAGCCACTCCTGCGTTGTCTTGGCTGTGTGCTTAGGGTCGTTGACCTGTTGGACGGTGAACCTTCGCCCCAGTCTGAGGTCCTGAGTGCTCTGGAGCAGGTTTTCATCATGGATCTCTCTGTGTTTTGCTCCGTTCATCTTTCCCTCGATCCTGACTAGTCTCCCTGCCGCTGAAAAACATCCCTGTAGCATGTTGCTGCCACCACCATGCTTCACCGTAGGGATGGTGCCAGGTTTCCTCCAGACGTGATGCTTGGCACTCAGGCCAGAGTTCAATCTTGGTTTCATCAGACCAGCAAATTGTGTTTCTCATGGTCTGAGAGTCCTTTAGGTGCCTTTTGGCAAACTCTAAGCGGGCTGTCATAATTTTAGAATAAGGCTAATGTAACAACATTTGGAAAAAGGGAAGGGGTCTGAATACTTTCCGAATGCACTGTAGATGCACGATTTACTTTTGTAAAACGTTCAGTGTAAATTAAGTTTGAGTTTAGTTGAATGATGTAATGATTAAAGTTTGAGGCTATTATTTGAGGAGATACATATGATGGTGCATCTAGTGAAGACAGCTCTTTCAAATAATTGTGGTAATTGAAGTACTATGTATAGAATAGGTTTGTATGTAGACCTGCTGATAGCTAGCTGTAGTTCTATCTAATAAATAAACTCTTTAAGCTAACACTGATCACTGAAAAGTACATTTCCTGAAGAAAATGTGGTGTGCTTGCTAGCTTGTTTTAAAGTACAGTATGTATGGTTTTGAAATAAGTTATAGTACTGGTAGTGTCTGCAGTAGTAATGGTGGTGACTGGTTATTGTTGAAAAAGTAGGTAGATGAAAATATTGATTAATTGATTGGTTGGTTGATAGGATAGCCTGAACATGTGAAAGTTGGTTTGGTATCTCTAGCTTGAATGGTTCAAGAGTTACAATTATTGTTGGTGGGTAGGTATGTGGTTGTCGTAAGTAGTTGTGGTCAGTAGTTGTGTGGTTGTGGTCATTAATTGTGTGGTTCAGAAGTTGTGTGGTTGTGGTCAGTAGTTGTGGACAGTAATTGTGGTCAGTAGTTTTGGTAAGTAGTTGTGTGTTTCAGTAGTTGTGGTTTAGTAGTTGTGGTCAGTAATTGTGGTTTAGTAGTTGTGGTCAGTAATTGTGTGGTTGTGGTCAGTAGCTGTGGTCAATAGTTGTGGTCAGTAGTGATCAGTAGTTTTGCGGTTGTGGTCAGTAGTTGTGGTCAGTAGTTGTGTGGTTGTGGTCATTAGTTGTGTGGTTCAGTAGTTGTGTGGTCAGTAGTTGTGTGGTTGTGGTCAGAAGTTCTGGTCAGTAATTGTGGTCAGTGTCTAAACTACAGTTGTTGCGTATGAAAACTGAAAGAAGTGCAATGAAGTGATCGGGTGAAATATTAAGCGAGTGAACGGAGACAGCTTTGCTCTATCCAATCAGAGCAGCAGGCTCAACGTACAGCCCGTCCTTATCTTTACACAGGCAAAATAGCCAGTTTAGTTATTTAGAGCACGGGGCAAGATCCTGAGAAGCATGATGATGCGCTGTTGCCTTGGCTGCCTTACCCTATTCACCCTTATCATCATTTCTGTGCTCCTCTGTGTCTGAGTATCCATAGCAACAGCTCCGTTTGGGCTGCTCAATGATGACATGAGAGAGCTGTTAGCTGATGTTAGCTAGCTACTCTAAACTCCAACAAACAAATCTGTAACTTTTGATTGATAGGAGATCATTCTGTTCTGAGTCCAGATTTGAATAGCAGAGAAGTAGACCAAGATGTAGTGCTGAGCGATATACAGACATTTTGTTTTTTTCCAGATTATTAAACAACTAATTGACCGACGTCGGTTCAATTACTTGAATTCCATTAATCCATAATCCACTGCGGCAGTTTTTTTCCGGCTCAGGCAGGGTCATGACTAGTTACCACAGCCACAAAGTCATAAACCCCGCCTAGAGATGGATGCACTTTTACACCTGCTACGTAGGTTAGATACATACAGACTGCATAGACAGCATGAGAGAGGAATGTACACAAGACAACAACGAGAGAGAGGGATAGACAGTTAGTGAAAGTATACCTTATCTTCTTTGAAGAACTAGTAAAATGATCATCAGACAGCTCTACATCTAGCCTAGGATGACTAAAGACAGAACAGTATGGGGAGCAGGCTACAGAGATAATGTTGTCTGGCTGTTTGGCTGCTACTGCCTGAGCAGAGAAGAGATGATGACTTTAAGGAATGAAAAATAATAAAGTAATCAAAAAAAAACTAAGTAATACACCCAACTGAAATTATTAAAGTTATTATTTCACAGTAATTTCCTATTGATGTCTACCCAATGTGGACTGACAGAGACATGGAATATTTTTAATGTTTTGGCAATTGAATGTTCACTATTTTTTGCTTTGACATTTTTATTAACAAGCATGTCATTATTTCATAACGCATTTGTTTTAAAAACATTATTATTTTGTCTAAAGTCATGCAAAAAAAAATATTAAATAGAATTCTCATGCGGTTACTAAAACAACTGTATCGTTAGATTGGTAACATATATGTTTGTTCTGACATCAGATTTGATTAGCAGAGAAGTAGACAAAGATGTCATACCCTCTAACTTGTTGTCTAACCTTTTGGGAAAGCGGTCAAAATTTCAGTTGTTTATTAAAAGTTAGAGGAAATGTCGTTGATGCGGTTAGTAAAACAGATGTATCGTTTGATCGGTATAATATATTTTTGTTCTGAGTTCTGATTTGATGTCATACTCTCTAACTTTTTGTCTAAGTTGTTGGCAGTGGTCAAAGTAGCTGATTTGTGTCAAAAGTTGCATTGTTGCATTTAATAATAATAATAATAATATGCCATTTAGCAGACGCTTTTATCCAAAGCGACTTACAGTCATTCGTGCATACATTTTTGTGTATGGGTGGTCCCAGGGATCGAACCCACTACCTTGGCGTTACAAGCGCCGTGCTCTACCAGCTGAGCTACAGAGGACCAGAATGATGAGTAAATCCCGTGAAAGTGGATGGAGGACAAAAATAATGACAAAAAGCTAAATAGTTGTAAAAGTATAAAAGATATCAAGCACACAAGCATAACTATAAGTCAGAAGTATGTCGAAGATTTAAAGCTGCAATATGTCACTTTTTGGGCGACCCGACCAAATGCACATAGAAATGTGAGTTATAGATATGTCATTCTCATTCAAAGCAAGTCTAAGAAGCGGTATATCTGTTCTATGTGCGCTATTTCTATGCTTCCCATTCTTAAGTTTGTTATTGCTTTTACTTTCGGTTTTGTACACTAGCTTCAAACTGCTGAAAATACAATATTTTTAGTTATGGAAAATATATTTCAAAGCGGTTTAGATGGTACAATGATTCTCTACACAATGGCTACTTGTTTTGTTGCATAAACTGAAATTAGGCTAACTATTTGAATTTTAGCAATCAGGAAATGGCGGAGAGATTTCTGCATATTGCACCTTTAAAGTGGGGAGTCTTGCTTCGCAAGCCCCACTAATAATAATTAGGAGGATGATTATATTTCTCCTATTTCATGTACAAGTGTGTATTAATACAATGTGTGAATTGGAAATGTGTTTTTTGCATATCCCAACTCCTCCTGAGACACCCTTGAAGAGTGGGGTCACGGCCACATCTTGGCACTCAAATATTTTCAATTGAAACAGAGCATCTGAAAGATAGTTCCGCTTAGTTTCATGAAACAATATGAAAGACATGATCCTAGGGATACAAATGGAAAATCCCCCAATAAAACTGGCATGATATTGATGTTTTCTTTTCATAATGTATGAACTGGAACTGGAGGACAGGCAAGGATATAATGATGTCAATAGCCTATACTCGACCTTCTAAAAAGAGAAGTAGCACAAGTTGAACTTTGTTACACAATCTGTATGGGCTGCTGCTGCGTCAGCAGCCCAAACAGCACCAACAGATTCCCCACAACCAGTGACAATTGCCTCCAAGTGATGTATGACAACCAGGGGGGGGGTCAGTGTTGTTGTTCATCTGCCATCATTGCCTCAGAGATGTTGACAAGTTCAGTCTTCGTCCCCTGGAAAATTGCTTTAAGCACATAATAACCTTGGACAATCCTTGACAATAGAACACCACAGAAGCAACACAGTGTTTATCTCAATTTAACACAAATTAAAAACAGAGAACCATGGTCATCATATTTTTGCTTCTTTCCCATTGGCTTGTAGCACAGTCCTTTGGTAATAATTTACACTCTGGTCTGGCTCCAAGTTTCCACACAACACAGACAGGGAATAAAGTCCTGGGAATAGGAGCTGACACAAGTTCACAGTGTTTATCAACCCCCAACGAAAATCAAGTCACAAAAGCAGAGTTTGTGGCAAGTGAAAAGCAAAAAACAGAGTAAAAGCAAAGTAGATAAGTATTTCAAATGATTTGGGAGCAGTACAAACTGTAAAGATAGATACAGAATTTTTTTAAACATTACTTTCTGAGGCAATATACATTTGTTACAGTTAAAAAAGTATTTGGATTCAGCTTTGTCGTCAAGCTTCAAGCTTGAGGTGTTCTGGCCCCATTGTTGAAAAGGAATGAAGTGAAAGGTCAAATTACCAGGTACCAAATGGAGCCTCGGGTACTAAATGACTTGGGAGAGGGATGAAGAGGCTACTGCCCAACTCGGCTGTAGGAACTCAAGATGAAGGACTGTTGGCGTTTGGGGCTCTCTCACCTCATCACTGCTTGCAGTTTCTCCATGTCAACTTTGCGCTGCTCTGCGTTGGCCTGTGAGCGTCTCAGCCTGTCTCGTAGCTCCTGCAGGTGGTCCAGTGTGTCCACCAGCTCTCCCTTCACCGTCTTCATCTGGCTCTCCAGCAGCTGGGTGCGGTGGAGGGAGTTCCTCCTGTCCTTCCTGGTGAAACGTACCTTCTCCTCCAGATCCTGGACTGAACCGGACAAGGCCCAGAGAACAACAAGGTTAGAAACAGTCACTCAGAGGGAGAGATAACACTTTGAGCCAGTTTCCTGGACCCAGATAAAGTCTTCAACTAAAATCGAGATTCTGAACATGCATTTTAGTGAAGGACTCGGCTTAATCTGTGACCTGGAAAGTGGCCCCTAAAGACAGACCCTTAGACACAGAAGATCTAAAAGCTTCTAAAATACACAGGGATAGCATCAGAACACAGACAGTTACTTACGCTGTGAAGTTAATGGCTATCAAAAGTAGATACTTGTATATTGAGTTGACTATATAATCATGAGGACCACAATGGAAATTAGCCTCCAGGCTTTATTGTATCCGTCTGGAGCAGCCTAATACTTATCCAATAAATTAAATCAATCATCAAGGGCACATGCACTGTCTCATTACCTATAATAATAATAATAATAATATGCCATTTAGCAGACGCCTTTATCCAAAGCGACTTACAGTCATGCGTGCATACATTTTTTTTGCGTATGGGTGGTCCCGGGGATCGAACCCACTACCTTGGCGTTACAAGCGCCGTGCTCTACCAGCTGAGCTACAGAGGACCACATACACTACACTCTTAGAAAAAAGGGTTCTTCATTTGTCCCCATAGGAGAACCCTTTTTGGTTCCAGGTAGAACTCTTTGATGGTGAAAAACGTTATACATACTTAGAACCTGTTAGTGGTGAAAGGGTTCCACATAGAACAGGGATGGGCAATCATTTTGGCTGATGGGCCACATCGGGATTTCAAAATTCAGCAGAGGGCCACACAGATTTTGTCTCTCAAAATGTTTGTCAAAAGCAATTTGCGGGCCAGAAAAAGGGCAGTTATTTGAAAATATATAGGTCCATTCTAATTTCTACATACTTTCTATTTAGTTTTAGACATTCAAGAGTGGCCTGGAGTGTTTTTTTAACCCAAAATCTTTTTGGGGGGGGGATTGAATGGGCTCACGGGCCGGATCCATAGTTTTCCCACCCCTGACGTAGAACCTTGTATTAGTGAAAGGATTCTACTTGGAACCAAAAATAGCTCCTTTCAGAGGGTTCTCCCAACCTATGGACACAATTGAAGAACCATTTACGGTTCTAGATGGCACCTTCTTTTCTAAGAGTGTACATTTGAATCCTTGCATGATAGTTTATCCACATAACCAAAACAATGCAGTTCTCATGCATTTCAGAGAAGAAACTCAGTGAATTAGAGTAAGGATATTGATACAGACCCATATTGTCCCGGTTGTCCACCCTTTACTTTCCATACCAGACTCTGTCTTCTTGTCCAGCTTTCCTCTGGTCTCAGCTAGCATCTTCTCCATCTTAGAGAGCTGGAAGGACTTGGTGTCGCTGTCTCTCCGTATACGCAGCATCTGCTGCTCTCGCTCACTCAGCTCTCCCCGAACCTTATTCATGTCCTCTGACAACTGCCTGCATGACAGGACACAGACAAACCCTGGCTTTCAACAACAGGGGTACAAGGCTACTAGGCACGCTACGTCTGTAAATGGTCACCCTAAAGACGCTTGCATTGATTACAATGATAATTGACAACACAGAAACCAAGTGGGTATAACAAAAGGTTTGGGATGTCTGGAGAAGTATAACAGTCACAAAATATGCTGTATGTGATATTCTGCGTGTTTCTGTGGTTCCCTGGGCTGTACTGAGCTGGTCAGGATTGAACATCTCTAAGCTTTTCCTTCTACTGATTTATAGTATGTTGTGTTTGTTCTTTTGGGAATGGGCTATCTAGACTGCTTATATGCCCCTAACAGAGAGCAGGAAACAGCCTCCAAACAAATACTGAGTACAGAGCATTATAATCAGACAAGTCATACGACTGGCTTCACTAAGCCCTGCAGCTAACTGACACTCAACCAGCCGAGACATTAGGCTCAATGTTGAAGGAGAACATTTAACTCAGTACAAGTCTATTTAGGCAAGAAAATTACAAACATGACAGTTGGAGATGCCAGGGTCAAAGTAACTCAGGGAGTTAAACTGGCCATATCAAATGCATTCCCAGCTTCTCAGCAACTGAAAGGGGCCTTATAATGCAGCCACCCAACAACAAACAATGGAGCGCTCTGACAACTATCGATTATAAACAAACAGCTGATATTACATAACTACATAATAACGTCCAATCCAATGTTAGGATGTCCATTGCACTGTATTCTGTTCTGTCTTTCGTAATAAAGTACTGTATGTTGTCAAGACCCGCATCTTTACAAAGACATCTAGTTTAATCAAACCCATAATCAAACCCATATGGGACCTTAACTTAAACATAAGTTACAGACAGTTTATATGGACTTTCCTTCTAAAGCTACCTCCACTATTTCTTACTGCAGGCATACAGGTGTTTGACTTTGCTTAATTTGACTCCGAATCACTAGACTGCTGCAATCCGTAACTAGCTTGATTAGTACAAGACAAGACTTATCACTTGGTGAGGGGTGGTGGAAGTCAGATGTTGATAGAACTTCCACCCACCGACTCTTGAATGAAGCTTTACTGTTGGGTCTGAGCATTGGTAAAAACCTATGCTTGGAATTGTAGCCATTATTGTTAAAATTATTGTATAATTTTCAAGAGCCTCAACAAGCAGCCTGGTCTCAGTAGAGTGAATCAAAGTGATACATTTAATAACGGTTGTGTGTGTTTAGTGTTGTAAAGTGCTTGGCAGTAGAGTAGTGTAGAGTAGACTAACATTTTCCCCTGGTGGTACTGGTGCCACTAACTTTTTCAGATGGTGGCACCAGCCCATGATTTGGTTGCACCAAATCTTTTTCACAGGTCACGCAATAGCAAAAATGAGTAATCATATAAGGTCATTCACAGTGCTTTTTTAAGAGGTGTAGACTACTGAGATGGTATTCAATAAATAAGTTGTTTCATCTAACATGTCCATGCAGGAATGCATGATTCAAGATATTCTGCAACCTAATCCAGTGATTGTCATGAATGTTGGGTTGACAAATAAGCTATTGTTGTTACATTTTACTGTTAAAATAGGTATCCGGAATTTTCTGAATTGTATTTTGTTCAATAGAGATGAACTTGCCTACATCTTTATATGTGCACTAATATTCTAGGCTAATTTATTTGGGGCTAATTCAGCACCTGAGTAAGCAAAAACTCAAAACACATTAGCTAGATCGCTAACACTAAACATAATACATTTTACATTTACATTTAGCAGACGCTCTTATCCAGAGCAACTTACAGTTAAGTGAGTGCATACATTATTTTGTATTTTATTTTATTTTATTTTATACTGGCCCCCCATGGGAATCGAACCCACAACCCTGGCGTTGCAAACGCCATGCTCTACCAACTGAGCTACATCCCTGCCGGCCATTCCCTCCCCTACCCTGGACGACGCTGGGCCAATTGTGCGCCGCCCATGGGTCTCCCGGTCACGGCCGGCTACGACAGAGCCTGGATTCGAACCAGGATCTCTAGTGGCACAGCTAGCACTGTGATGCAGTGCCTTAGACCACTGCGCCACTCGGGAGACGAGTGCTACCCACTGCTGGTAGCCATGTATTAATCTAACAGTAAATGTAATGTCCCAAAAACGTTGCAGTTGTAGCCTACTGCTCAATGAGGCCTATGCAATCGCAATGGCCAATGCACAACATTTCGCACGCTCTGTATCAAAGCCATATCAAATATCTTGGTTGAAAAATAGTTGCTATTGAGGTCAAAATTTAGAGTTCAGAAATAAAAGAGGATACCTACAGAAAGCTGAGAACCTCCCCTCTTCAACTGTGACAACAGGATAGCTGTGTTTTCCCTGCAATTGGACTTTAAAAATCGGAACAAAATCGGAACACTATTCTCTCCAGGAGCATTTTGTTCCCCGGGAAAGGAGAGAGTGGCTTGCTTGACACAGCAGCAGGCCCCGGCGAAACAGACACAGCAGCAGGGCAGGAATCATGAGGATAATGTACTTTACTGTTTGACTAAATCATGGTTAAAAATCTTGAGTGAGGTCAAAAACTAACATGACCAGCTAAAATAATAAAATAACTGGCACCCTAGCGCCTAATTAGAAATTGGTGTCATATTGCCAAGTCAAAGGGTCGCAAATGCAAGAGTTTTGGTCACAGTCTCGAACCCTGTACTAGAGTAGAGTAACAGATTAGAGTAGAGTCGAGTAGCGTAGATTAGAGTAGTAGAGTAGATTAGAGCCGAGACAAGTTGAGTCGAGGAGAGACTGGTAGAGGGAGCAAAAACTAGTCTCACGTGACAGAGCTGGAGAGCTGCAGGGCTTCTCTCTCATGTCTCTCTGCCTGCTGACTAGCCTCCTGCAGTTCCTCTATGGCCTCCTGGGCTCTCTGCTCTCTCCTCTTCAGCTCTTTGGAGGCTAACGCCTTCTCTTTCTCCAGTTCCTTCTCCAAGCGGCCCACCTGGAGGAATGCACACACGCACGCCACACACATACAGTGTGTGAATTGAACCCTCTCAACTCACCTCCAAGCACATCTGTTTGTGCTTCTTGCGGTCAATTTGCAGTCTACAAATTATTATGTTCTGGCCCCCCGACTATCCGCTTAAGAAACAAAATCGTCCCGCAGCTGAATCTAGTTGATGATCCCTGCACTATACTATAGTAACCCCTTGCAAGCCTGAAGTAATCCTTTTGAACACAGGAACCTGTCTAAACAATTAGGCTTTTCAAAACACTCATGAACAGTATGAGCAGCAAGAATACACAGTCAATTATAAACAGATATGAGGACTATTTGATTAACCCTGCTATGCCCACAAAAGCTGACTTTGTATACAAAGAACTGCACCAGTTAAAGCAATGATGAATGTTTCAAAATAAGACATTTGTATTGCATCTCAAACTCCTACATTAGATATAACAACTGCAGCTCATGCGCTCTAGTAGTCTATTTGTTCAGCCACTGAGTTCAATTAAAACTGTACGGTTTTATGTTTTATGTTCGGTCTCTGAGGCTGGTTTGCTGATTATGTTGTATGTAACTTACAGGCTGTGGAAATAATGTTCCTCTCTGAAGACAGTAAAGTATCTATCTATCTGTCTACCTGCTCCAGTAACAGGGCCTGTCTGTCCTCTAGCTCTGCCACACGGGAGGTGCTCTTCTGCAGCATGGTCTGCTGTCTCTGGACGGTGTGCTGCAGCTGCAGGTTCTGCTCACTGGAGCTCTGACATACCAGAGAGCTACCCCGCATCTCTGCCTGCAGAGCCTCCACCTGGGGACAGAGAACACTGGAACTGCCTGTTTCAATTCACTAGTCTTCATCCATACACTTCACAAGTTAGAATTTTATTTAATTTTTGTCTCATATCCTTCACATTGTTGCCAATTTCCTGAGTGCCAGTCTGTCTGCTCTCTTGCCAACCCCTAATGGAATTGTCATGCCACACATTGTCATGTTTGGCGTGAGAAGAAGTGACAAGGAGTTGGCAAGAGAGCAAAAACAGATCTGGGATCAGACTACAACGTCCCATCCACAGATACAACATTCCAGGCACATTGTGTGATAAATGTTTCACAGGAAATTAAAGCAAGGTGAAGATCTTCATTTTCTACCTCTTTGGCGCTTGTCTCCAGCTCTCTCTCATAGCGTCCCTTCACTCCCTTTATCTGTTGCATACAGCTACTCAACTCATCCTGGCATGTTGTCAGGGCTGTCTCCAAAAACCTCACCTGCAACAGGACCAATGCAGGAAGAAAAAAAAGTCTGATTTAGCTGATAACACATGCTATGACAATTTAGTTTTCATAAGGACTGACCTTGGTAGTATATTCTGTTGCCTGCACTCTGAGAGCTCTCAAGGCCTCCTGGTCTTGATTGGCTCTCGTCTCTGTATCCTAGGAAGTGACAAGGTTATAGCACTAGTCAGATTAATACCAAGATGCCCAGCTGTGACACTCTGTGTCAAACTGAATGACGTGGGTGTGATTTATAAAACTGTGAAGATCTACAGTGCATACGGAAAGTATTCAGACCACTTTACTTTTTCCACATTTTGTTACGTTACAGCCTTATTCTAAAATGGATTAAATTGTTTTTTCCCCCTCATCAATCTACACACAATACCCCATAAATGACAAAGCAAAAACTGGTTTTTAGAAATGTTTGCAAATTTATAAATAAATATAAAACTGAAATATCACATTTATATAAGTATTCAGACCCTTTACTCAGTACTTTGTTGAAGCACCTTTGGCAGCGATTACAGCCTTGAGTCTTCTTGGGTATGATGCTATAAGCTTGGCACAACTGTATTTGGGGATTTTCTCCCATTATTCTCTGCAGATCCTCTCAAGCTCTGTCAGGTTGGTTGGGGAGCTATTTTCACAGCTATTTTCAGGTCTCTCCAGAGATGCTCGATCGGGTTCAAGTCCGGGCTCAGGCTGGGCCACTCGAGGACATTCTGAGACTTGTCTCGAAGCCACTCCTGCGTTGTCTTGGCTGTGTGCTTAGGGTCGTTGTCCTGTTGGAAGGTGAACCTTCGCCCCAGTCTGAGGTCCTGAGCGCTCTGTAGCAGGTTTTCATCAAGGATCTCTCTGTACTTTCCTCTGTTCATCTTTCCCTCGATCCTGACTAGTCTCCCAGTCCCTGCCGCTGAAAAACATCCCCACAGCATGATGCTGCCACCACCATGCTTCACCGTAGGGATGGTTCCAGGTTTCCTCCTGACGTGACGCTTGGTATTCAGGCCAAAAAGTTCAATCTCGGTTTCATCAGAACAGATAATCTTGTTTCTCATGGTCTGAGAGTCCTTTAGGTGCCTTTTGGCAAACTCCAAGCGGGCTGTTATGTGCCTTCTACTGAGGAGTGGCTTCCGTCTGGCCACTCTACCATAAAGGCCTGATTGGTGGAATGCTGCAGAGATGGTTGTCCTTCTGGAAGGTTCTCCCATCTCCACAGAGGAACTCTGGAGCTCAGTCAGAGTGACCATCGGGTTCTTGGTCACCTCCCTGACCAAGGCCCTTCTCCCCCGAGTCTTGGTGGTTCAAAACACCTTCCATTTAAGAATGATGGAGGCCACTGTGTTCTTGGGGACCTTCAATGCTGCAGAAATGTTTTGGTACCCTTCCCCAGATCTGTGCCGCGACACAATCCTGTCTTGGAGCGCTACGGACAATTCCTTCGACCTCATGGCTTGGTTTTTGCTCTGACATGCACTGTCAACTGTGGGACCTCACATAGACAGGTGTGTGCCTTTCCAAACCATGTCCAATCAATTGAATTTACCACAGGTGGACTACAATCAAGTTGTAGAAACATCTCAAGGATGATCAATGGAAACAGGATGCACCTGAGCTCAATTTTGAGTCTCATAGCAAAGGGTCTGAATACTTATGTAAATAAGGTATCTGTTTTATTTTTAATAAATGTGCAACAATATCTAAAAACCTGTTTTCGCTTTGTCATTACGTGGTATTGTATATAGATTGATGAGAAAAAAATTATATTTAATCAATTTTAGAATAAGGCTGTAACGTAACAAAATGTGGAAAAAGTCAAGGGGCCTGAATACTTTCCGAATGCACTCTAGGTAAGGGTAATGTGATGTGAGGTGTGTTGTGTGTAGGGGCAGACATACGTGCGTGAGCTGGTTGAGGGAGGTCTGAAGTCTGTCTGCTCTGTGCTGGGCCTCCTGTCTCTCATGCTGGGCTGAAGAAAAGTATTTATCCAGCTCTGCTTTCTGAGAGTGCAACTGTACAGGACAGGCAGACATAAAATCACATGAAACAGGCAGGAAACACAAGTACTGTATGACTGGACTAGGGTATATACACGAGTAGCTTTGCAGGTGCCCAAACATCTACTGTATGTTAAAGCTGAAATTCTGCATAAGGTGAAACAGTGCCACTGTTCACCCCCAGCGCATTTGTTATTGTTTTGTCAATGAAACGGAGGAGAGGAGCATCGTGGTAAAATATTTTCACAGTACATACTCTGCTGTTCTATCATGTGTGCAATGATGTGCAATGATGTGCGAGGGAAAAAAAGAGTGTTCATTGTTTACAGTAACTTCTTTATTGTTGTAATATCACAAATGGACGTTGCAGTTTTACCAAGTACACGGATTCCAGCTTTCACGTATAACTATTCTAAGATTGAAAGTATGTGAAGTTCATGGCATTGCTTATTGTAACCTTGGGTGACTTTTATGAACAGTCAAGTGTGAATAAAGGAATACAATACATGTATCCTCTCACCATTTTGATTTGATCCTGTAGCTCCTTACATTGCTCTGAGCCAACTCTCTGAGACTCCTCCAACTCCTGCTGGAAATCCCTCTTCTTCAAGTCCAGAGTGGTTTTAAAGTGCTGGATACTGCTGCTCTTCTCCTACGTTTCAAACCAGAGCGTTCATCAACTAACTAACTAGCCCACTTAAACATAGCATAGCCTATGTGTGTGAAAGGACGTGTATGTGAGTTAGAAGAGAGAACTGTGTCTGTCTCAATCCAAAGGCAGGCAGTCATCCTTGTGGATTTAGACAGACCCAACGTGTGTAAGTGAAAGCATGTGTGTGTGTGTGTGTGTGTGTGTGTGTGTGTGTGTGTGTGTGTGTGTTGGTGGATGCGAGTGAGTAGTGACAACACAATGTCTGTTTAGTGTAGCCTACTTCAGCATTTGCATTTGATAGATTAGTGACAACACAATTTATTTTCAGTGTGTGTTGAAGACTTCACCATTACCAGCAGGTTCTGCTCTAACTCAGTGGTCTTCTCTACAGCCTGTGAAAGTCCTGCATCTTTCTTCTCTAACTGTTTCTCTGCAGCTGCCAGGCTGACGTTCTTCCTCCTTAACTGCAATACAACACATTCACCACTAGGGACAGACATATGTCACATACGTACACAATAAGTGTTATAATAATATTTTGTTTCAGGCACTGGTTTAAGGCCCGATTACTCTGCTTCTGTGAGTGAGACCCTCACTTGTCCTGATGTAACTCAGATTCCTTTGAGATACAGCCTTTTCCTTGATTTGACACTACTCATAATGAAAATGGTGGTACAGTACCCTATTCATGTGTCCATCCTTACCTCTCTCTCCAGCTGGTTGATTTGTACAGTCCTCTCCTGGAGCTCTGTGTGTAGTTTCTGTAGCTGGATGTCTCTCTGGTTCATTTTGTTCTGTAGGGCAGTCATCTCCTCCTGAGCCTGCCTTAGTCTCTCTTGCAGGCCCAGGACTAGAGCTGCCTGTTATACGTGAAATATACGTGAAAAGCTGTTATACAGTTATAAGTGAAAGCTGGAATCAGTACTTGGTGAAACTGCCACGTCCGTTTGCCATATTAACTGCAATACAACACATGCACCACCAGGGGACAGACATCAGTCACACATACAGTAAACAACAGGTTCTCAAACTTGTTAGGACCCCCTCATAATCAGAACACAACTCGAGTGAGATAAAAATAGCATACAAGGAGTTTTACTATGACTTCAGCAGTACATAGACGGACAAACCACGTTTCGGGCCCTGGGTAGGAACATTTTAAAGGCCCGCCTCTTGGCATCAGATAGAAAATGTGGCAGTGTTCAAGCCTTTTCCTTGATTTGACACTACTCATAATGAAAATGGTGGTACAGTACCCTATTCATGTGTCCATCCTTACCTCTCTCTCCAGCTGGTTGATTTGTACAGTCCTCTCCTGGAGCTCTGTGTGTAGTTTCTGTAGCTGGATGTCTCTCTGGTTCATGTTGTTATGTAGGGCAGTCATCTCCTCCTGGGCCTGCCTTAGTCTCTCCTGTAGGCCCAGGGCTAGAGCTGCCTGCCTGCCTCTCTCCTGCTCCACAGCCCGCAACACAGGCAGCAGCTGCTGGTACTGCTCCCCTGACACACCCAAAACACAAAACACAAACAGACCATTTTTGGGGGGGATACAAACATCCTTTTCATTCTTCAATGTGTATCCACAATGTTACAGCATACAAGGAATAGATATTGTTAGAGTTGACCTATTCTACTGTATGCATGGCCTAGAGATGGGAGATTAGATATGTGCTATACACTGAGTGTACAAAACATTAGGAACACCTTCCTAATATTGAGTTGCACCCCCCTTTGCCCTCAGAACAGCCTCAATTCGCCGGGGCATGGACTCTACAAGGTGTCGAAAGCGTTCCACATGGATGCTGGCCCATGTTGACTCCAATGCTTCCCACAGTTGTGTCAAGTTGGCTGGATGTCCTTTGGGTGGTGGACCATTCTTGATACACTGTTGAGTGTGAAAAACCCAGAAGCGTTGCAGTTCTTGACACACTCAAACCGGTGCGCCTGGCACCTACTACCATACTCTGTTCAAAGGCACTTAAATCTTTTGTCTTACCTATTCACCCTCTGAAAGGCACACATACACAATCCATGTCTCAATTGTCTCAAGGCTTAAAAATCACTATTTAACCTGTCTCCTCCCCTTCATCTATACTGATTGAAGTGGCTTTAACAAGTGGCATAAATAAGGGATCATAGCTTTCACCTGGTCAATCTATGTCATGGAAAGAGCATGACAGACTGTTCCTAATGTTTTGTACACTCAGTGTATACAGACTACAATACGATGGGTAGTATTGAAGAGTAAGCTAGGGAAATCACCTGGTTTGAGTTTGGGGACATCACAGAATGGAGCTGGCAGACAAGGCTTAGCACAGAGTGATCCCCCTCCACTCTATAACAAATAGTTAGGTCACTTTTACATAACAGTCCAGTACATTTTGTCCACCATCATTGTCTGGAACAGAGTTGAGGTTATGCTGAGTTAGCAATAAGCAGGGTGCACTATGATTGTATGGGGCACATACAGTGAGGGAAAAAAGTATTTGATCCCCTGCCGATTAAGAAATGATCAGTCTGTAATTTTAATGGTAGGTTTATTTGAACAGTGAGAGACAGAATAACAACAAAAAAATCCAGAAAAACGCATGTCAAAAATCTATCAGAAAGATTTCTGGCTCCCAGGTGTCTTTTATACAGGTAACGAGCTGAGATTAGGAGCACACTCTTAAAGGGAGTGCTCCTAATCTCAGTTTGTTACCTGTATAAAAGACACCTGTCCACAGAAGCAATCAATCAATCAGATTCCAAACTCTCCACCATGGCCAAGACCAAAGAGCTCTCCAAGGATGTCAGGGACAAGATTGTAGACCTACACAAGGCTGGAATGGGCTACAAGACCATCGCCAAGCAGCTTGGTGAGAAGGTGACAACAGTTGGTGCGATTATTCGCAAATGGAAGAAACACAAAATAACTGTCAATCTCCCTCGGCCTGGGGCTCCATGCAAGGTCTCACCTCGTGGAGTTGCAATGATCATGAGAATGGTGAGGAATCAGCCCAGAACTACACGGGAGGATCTTGTCAATGATCTCAAGGCAGCTGGGACCATAGTCACCAAGAAAACAATTGGTAACACACTACGCCGTGAAGGACTGAAATCCTGCAGCACCCGCAATGTCCCCCTGCTCAAGAAAGCACATATACAGGGCCGTCTGAAGTTTGCCAATGAACATCTGAATGATTCAGAGGAGAACTGGGTGAAAGTGTTGTGGTCAGAAGAGACCAAAATTCGAGCTCTTTGGCATCAACTCAACTCGCCGTGTTTGGAGGAGGAGGAATGCTGCCTATGACCCCAAGAACACCATCCCCACCGTCAAACATGGAGGTGTAAACATTATGCTTTGGGGGTGTTTTTCTGCTAAGGGGACAGGACAACTTCACCGCATCAAAGGGACGATGGACGGGGCCATGTACCGTCAAATCTTGGGTGAGAACCTCCTTCCCTCAGCCAGGGCATTGAAAATGGGTCGTGGATGGGTATTCCAGCGTGACAATGACTCAAAACACACGGCCAAGGCAACAAAGGAGTGGCTCAAGAAGAAGCACATTAAGGTCCTGGAGTGGCCTAGCCAGTCTCCAGACCTTAATCTCATAGAAAATCTGTGGAGGGAGCTGAAGGTTCGAGTTGCCAAACGTCATGCTCGAAACCTTAATGACTTGGAGAAGATCTGCAAAGAGGAGTGGGACAAAATCCCTCCTGAGATGTGTGCAAACCTGGTGGCCAACTACAAGAAACGTCTGACCTCTGTGATTGCCAACAAGGGTTTTGCCACCAAGTACTAAGTCATGTTTTGCAGAGGGGTCAAATACTTATTTCCCTCATTAAAATGCAAATCAATTTATAACATTTTTGACATGCGTTTTTCTGGATTATTTTGTTGTTATTCTGTCTCTCACTGTTCAAATAAACCTACTATTAAAATTATAGACTGATCATGTCTTTGTCAGAGGGCAAACGTACAAAATCAGCAGGGGATCAAATACTTTTTTTCCTCACTGTACAGCATTCGGAATATAGCATGTAGAGACAATACACAGAGGGTATAGTTTGAGAGTGTAGTAGGGAGTATGGCGCTAGGCTCACCTCTCTAAGATGCAGCAGGCTGAGGATGGCCTCTAGGCTGACCTGTTCAGCCTGGCTCTGCTGTGCTTCTCTCTGACACTGCTCCAGTCTCTGCTCCTGGCTGGTAGTGAGGTGGCGTAGGTCCCCACACTCCTTCCTCAACACCTCTATGTCCTTCTCAACTATCTCCCTGTCACTCAGTCTTCTCTCCAGCTCCACAGCCCGGACAGAGGCCTCTTCCAGACGAGAACGCAAGGTGGCGCACTCTACACTCATCGCCTCGGCTCTGACCGACTCTTCCTTCAACTGGCTGGTCAGAGAGATTCCCAACTACTATTACTATAGGTTTGTCCATCACAGTGGTATTGGTATTCTACTAACTACAACCAATCTAAACCTCTACCATATCCACATATCATGATATGAAGCAAAAATGTCATTTTTACACTGTCCTCCTTATCACAGTTGATTCAAGTGAAGTGTAACCACAGAGATTAATCCTATAAGATACATTTTCAGAGGTTGATTCAGAAACTATTAAGTAAGATATGCTGAACAGAGACTTGAGTACCAACCCAATCAGCTGATTCATGTCAGTCTTGTCCTGCTCTAGCTGAAGACACCTCCTCTCCCACGCCACTCTCTCTTTATCACACTGGATAAGAGCCTCCTTCAGTCTGGCCTCGTTGTCCAACACCTATGGACCACAACACAGCATCACGTTGCTATACAATCAAAGACTGTAATGTCTAAATATAATTTGGCCAGGTATTGACAAGCATTTATTCTGAACAAACAGGCTTAAAAAACATTTACATTTTTGTTATTTACATAGCTTGACTCTTCACTCGTCTTATTCCATACCTTCTTCAGTTTCTCTGACATATTTCCCTTGTAACTCCGGAGAGCCAATGTCTGCTTCTCTGCAGTAACAAGTGCTTCCTCTCTCTGTTGCTCAACTCTTTGGGATGAATGGAAAATATATCTTAGTTACCAAACAACAAGCACTAGTACAAGGAGGTGACATCAGGTGATGTGTATTACATACACTGAGTGTATAAAACATTAAGAACACCTGCCCTTTCCACGACAGACTGGCCAGGTGAAAGCTATGATCACTTATTGATGTCACTTGTTAAATCCACTTCAATCAGTGTAGATGAAGGGGAGGAGACAGGTTAAATAAGGATTTTTTAAAGCCTTGAGACATGTATTGTGTATGTGTGCCATTTAGAGAGTGAATGGGTAATACCAAAGATTTAAGTGCCTTTGAACGGGGTATGGTAGTAGGTGCCAGGCGCACCGGTTTGTGTCAAGAACTGCAACACTGCTGGGTTTTTCACGCTCAACAGTTTCCCATGTGCATCAAGAATGGTACACCACCCAAAGGACATCCAGCCAACTTGACACAACTGTGGGAAGCATTGGAGTCAACATGGGCCAATATCCCTGTGGAACGCTTTCGACACCTTGTAGAGTCCATGCCCTGACGAATTGAGGCTGTTCTGAAGGCAAAAGGGGGGTGCAACTCAATATTAGGAAGGTGTTCTTAATGTTTTGTGCACTCAGTGTATATAGTAATTGGGGATTCTTAAAGAGCATAGAACCACTGCTTACCTTATCCCCTGATTAGTCCTGTTCTCTAACTCAGCCCTAGCAGCCATTAACTCCTCTTGTAGCTGGTCCACTAGTCTGCTCTTAATGACCAATGTCTCTTGAGTCTCCTCCAGCCTCTTTTCTGTATCTCTACAATGAACAAGGCAACACAACTAGCACAACTGCATTCACAAAGGTGTGTCTGTGTGTGTTTATGTGTATCCTCCTACCAACCTGAGTACATTCCCTTGGGCCTCAACCTCAGCCTCCAAACCCTCAATCTCCTCCTTCATATGACACACACTAGAAGTCTTAGACCCTACGGTGGAACCCAGAACCCGGACCTGTCAACATTTTAGGTGAACAAATGTGTCTTAGTTCAAGCTGAGCATGTGTGGAACCACACCCAACATTGGTAACATATTATTTGGGCCCTCTGTAAAGGCCTGCATGAATAGCGTTATAATAATGAATAATGGCGGAGGTTGTACGAAAATGCATAAACTGGAATACTTTGGTTTTCGAGCTGGCAAGTTCGAGATTCACTGCTTCCAATTCAATGATCAGTTGTCTGTTTTCTTGCATCACAGAAGCACTTTCTTCCTCCACTGAGCTTAACTTCCTTCTGAGATGCAAGTTTTTAGATTCCAGTTCCCTCATTGAAGAGGATGAAGAGATTGAGGGAGGCTGAAAAAAAAACATTATGACTTTTAATGCATTCCTCCATTGAATAGCAGTTTATTTGATAAATTAATCACATACTTCAAAATATTATAATCTCTTGCAAGCCACTTCATGGTTAGCTTGTCTCACCTTTGACTCAGCTTGTGGGACACTGCTACAGACCCTGCGTTCTTCAGCCATCATAGTGAGAGTGTGTGTACAGTGGCAATCTGGATGTAAAAAATCAATGAAGTTTATGAATGTATCAAATATGTGCATCAAACTTCAAAGAGGTAAGGCAACAATAACACCAACGTCAGCAACATATTATAGTTAGTTAACATTTGAGCTAACGTTAGCTAGCAAGTTTGTTAGCTAGCTAGCCAATGTTAGTTAGCCACCAGTAAGTAGATGGCTTGCTCAAAGGCAGTTGCTTAGTTACTTCGTTATGTGCTGCTCTTACCTGTTTGGTCAATCAATGGACATGCTGCGATTCGACATAAAGTCTAAATAATATCGGTGCGAAGAGTCAATACAATCAAGCTCGCCTGCCACTCACTCCACACTTCTCTCTACATGCTGGAGGAAGTGGTGTTGTTTTACAACATGATAGGAATGCCGCGCTCTGCGTTCTGCTTCATGATTGACTAATGTAAAGTAACAGAACGCGCATGTTACTTTGTAACCGTTTTAGTAAAACCAAAGACCGTATAGAAACTCTGTGACACTTTGTATGTGTGCTGTTCAGATAGATCCAGTATATAGAAGCAGTCTACCGAACAGCTTTTCTTTAAAGGTCTAAAGCAGACGTTTTTATCTCAATAGCAAATCATTTCTGGCTAACAATTAAGTACCTTACTGTGATTGTTTTCAATTAAAATGGTCAAAAAGAAACAACAACAGTTCCTTAGCAAAGAGCAATTTCTCAAGCAAGAATTTTGCTAGGAATGGTCTGGGGGAGGGGGAAACTGAAAAACAGCTGTTATTATCAGAAAGGTTTGGAATGCTCTTTCTTGTTGGTCTATTAACTAATATACCGCTTGGGGATGTCTCCAGGCAGGCCAATACTCCATCCCACCAAAACAGGCTGACATTTCAAGCAGCCTTTTCAAACAGCTCTTCCACTGAAGGGGCATTATCATCATTTTCACAATTTCACAGTATTATTCCAACCTCATTGTGTGGAAATATAAAACACAGGAAAATCATGTTTTTGACTACACTGGGCCTTTAACATTTGTGACAGTATTGTAATCTATAAACCTTTATCAAGGACCCCCTTTCCTATACAATCCCCTCCCACTCTATCTAGCGGGCAAGAGTACTGCAGCGTTCTAGTGTCTGCTATTTTGCAGCACGGAAGGCGCACTTCAAAGGAAGAGCTTATTTGACGGGGGAGGAGAAATGATTTGGTGAAATGGACTGTTATTATTTGTTATACACACTGTGGTTAATTATTGCTACACCAGAAGCCAGAATAATTGTGCAGAAGACAAGATTAGATTTCAATGTTTCGCTTTTTATGGCGTTTTCTTCCTCCGGCAGGTTAGTGTTGTGAGATGTGCTCTATTTGCCATGGCAAGAGGTCTGTTTTCATGGGTCTGGCTGAGGAAGCCTATCTACATACAGGTAAGCCCAGTAGGAAATATTTCCTATACTTTCTCGTGATCAGACAATCACCTATTCACTATTGGACAGTTGGGATTATTCATGTTCCTGTATGGTAGGCTACTTTGAACATTATAAGGCTCTTTTGGACACGATTTCATATACATTCATTTGCAATATTTTAATCTTCGGTAGCCTATAATGTTGGCCTTTTATATGGTTGTCATTGCCATCATTGATGCTCATGAGGGTGTTGCTTCTGATACAAATGTTTCCTTTTGAGTATCCGATTGATTTTATTTCATTTCCAATACGGCACTTGATGCTCTGTCGATGCCCAAGAGCTGCAGTCATTGGTCCAATTCAGTAAACTACTCACCGTTTCTGTAGCAACAGGGATCATCCAGCTTTCACACAAGACAGGACACACAAGGTTTTTTTGCCATGAATGTGAGCACTGCATTCAATCCCAAGGTCTAGTAGATAAATAATGTTCTTGTTTGCAATCTTATGTTGTATTTAAATCAGCCCTCTTATTTGCATTGTCCGTGTATGTGCTCCTTATGCTATCTATCCTATTGACCTCCCATTTAAAACATTTTAATTATATCATACTCTATGTCTTACCCTATGGGCTCTGGTCAAAAGTAGTGCACCATAGGGAATATGGTGCCAATATAAACGCACACAATTTAACCTGTTGTATAAAAGGCCTATAATAACTGGTCAATAAGGTGGAAATGTTTACAATTCTGGAAAAAGTATTGTAGACGGTCTTAAAACTGTACAAGCAAGTTAAGAATCATGAATAATTATGATATTTTGGATGTCCCTTACTTTCCCCCCAATTTAGTGTACAAAACTGAGTGTACAAAACATTAAGAACACCCTCTGAATGGCATACATACACAATCAATGTCTCAATTGCCTCAAGGCTTAAAAATCCTTCTTTAACCGGTCTCCTCCCCTTCATCTACACTGATTGAAGTGAATTTAACAAGTGACATCATTAAGGGATCATAGCTTTCACCTGGATTCAGCTGGTCAGTCAATGTCATGGAAAGATCATAATGTTTTGTACAATCGGAAAGTATCCAGACCCCTTCTCTTTTTCCACATGGAATCATGTAGTAACCAAAAAAGTGTTAAACGAATCATGATATATTTTATATTTGAGATTCTTCAAATAGCCACCCTTTGCCTTTATGACAGCTTTGCACACTCTTGGCATTCGCTCAACCAGCTTCACCTGGAATGCTTTTCCAACAGTCTTGAAGGAGTTCCCACATATGGTGAGCACTTGTTGGCTGCTTTTCTTTCACTCTGCCGTCCGACTCATCCCAAACCATCTCAATTGGGTTGAGGTTGGGGGATTGTGGAGGCCAGGTCATCTGATGCAGCACTCCATCACTCTCCTTCTTGGCAAAATAGCCCTTACACAGCATGGAGGTGTGTTGGGTCATTGTCCTGTTAAAAAACAAATGATAGTCCCACTAAGCCCAAACCAGATGGGATGGCGTATCGCTGCAGAATGCTGTGGTAGCCATGCTGGTTAAGTGTGCCTTGAATTCTAAATAAATCACAGACAGTGTCACCAGCAAAGCACCTCCACACCATAACACCTCCTCCTCCATGCTTTACAGTGGGAACTACACATGCAGAGATCATCCGTTCACCCACACCGCGTCTCACAAAGACACAGCGGTTGGAACCAAAAATCTCCAATTTGGACTCCAGACCAAAGGACAGATTTCCACCGGTCTAATGTCCATTGCTCGTGTTTCTTGGCCCAAGCAGGTCTCTTCTTATTATTGGTGTCCTTTAGTAGTGGTTTCTTTGCAGCAATTCGGCCTGATTCACACAGTCTCCTCTGAACAGTTGATGTTGAGATGTGTCTGTGACTTGAACTCTGTGAAGCATTTATTTGGGCTGCAATTTCTTAGGCTGGTAACTCTAATGAACATCCTCTGCAGCAAAGGTAACTCTGGGTCTTCCATTCCTGTGGTGGTCCTCATGAGAGCCAGTTTCATCATAGCGCTTGATGGTTTTTGCGACTGCATTTAAAGAAACGTTCAAAGTTTCCGTATTGACTGAGCTTCATGTCTTAAAGTAATGATGGACTGTCATTTCTCTTTGCTTATTTGAGCTGTTCTTGCCATAATATGGAGTTGGTATTTTACCAAATAGGGCTATCTTCTGTATACCCCCCCTACCTTGTCACAACACAATTGATTGTCTCAAACGCATTAAGAAGGAAAGAAATTCCACAAATTAACTTTTAAGAAGGCACACCTGTTAATTGAAATGCATTCCAGATGACTACCTCATGAAGCTGGTTGAGAGAATGCCAAGAGTGTGCAAAGCTGTCATCAAGGCAAAGGGTGGCTATTTGAAGAATCTCAAATATACAATATATTTTGATTTGTTTAACACCTTTGTGGTTACTACATGATTCCATATGTGTTATTTCATAGTTTGATGTCTTCACTATTATTCTACAATGTAAAAAAAAAGAAAAATGAATGAGTAGGTGTGTCCAAACTTTTGACTGGTGGTGTAAGTATTCAGACCCTTTGCTATGAGACTTGAAATTGAGCTCAGGTGCATCCTGTTTCCATTGATCAACTTGATTGGAGTCCACCTGTGGTAAATTCAATTGATTGGACATGATTTGGAAAGGCACACACCCGTCTATATAAGGTCCCACAGTTGACAGTGCATGACAAACCAAGCCATGAGGTCGAAGGAATTGTCTGTAGAGCTCTGAGACAGGAGTGTGTCGAGGCACAGATCTGGGGAAGGGTACCAAAACAATTCTGCAGCATTTAAGGTCCCCAAGAACACAGTGGCCACCATCATTCTTAAATGGAAAAAGTTATGTACCACCAAGACTCTTTCTAGAGCTGGCCACTTGGTCAGGGAGGTGACCAAGAACCCAATGGTCACTCTGACAGAGCTCCAGAGTTCCCTAAGTGGAGATGGGAGAACCTTCCAAAAGGACAACCATCTCTGCAGCACTCCACCAACCAGGCCTTTATGGTAGAGTGGCCAGATGGAAGCCACTCCTCAGTAAAAGGCACATGACAGCCCGCTTGGAGTTTGCCAAAAGGCACCTAAAGGACTCTCAGACCATGAGAAACAAGATTCTCTGGTCTGATGAAACCAAGATTGAACTCTTTGGCCTGAATGCCAAGCGTAACTTCTGGAGGAAACCTGGCACCATCCCTACGGTGAAGCATGGTGGTGGCAACATCATGCTGTGGGGATGTTTTTCAGCGGCAGGGACTGGGAGACTAGTCAGGATCGAGGGAAAGATGAATGAAGCATAGTACAGAGAGATCCTTGATGAAAACCAGCTCCAGAGCGCTCAGGACCTCAGACTGGGGCGAAGGTTCACCTTACAATAGGACAACGACCCTAAGCACACAGCCAAGACAACACAGGAGTGGCTTCGGGACAAGTCTCTGAATGTCCTTGATTGGCCCAGCCAGAGCCCGGACTTTAACCCGATCGAACATCTCTGGAGAGACCTGAAAATAGCTGTGCAGTGACGCTCCCCATCCAACCTGACAGAGCTTGAGAGGATCTGCAGAGAA